AGCATTCTCAAATTTGAAATAAATAAAGATTCCTGAAAGCGGTAAATTTTGATTGAATAACTATGCAGTGAGTGAGATGAGAACTTCCCATTCATAATACTCATTATTTCAGTACAGGTGCATTTGCAAAGAAGTGTGAATTATATTCTACATCTGTGACTGTTAGCAGAGCCTTAAACTGAGTCAAACTGTTAAAATTCATAAAGTGGACAAAATCTTACTTAGTTTATTGTGCATAGGAGCATATGGACAGATCTCTCCATATGAGAATAATTTGATTTTCTGCTGGATAAATGTCTGAAGGCAAAGGCAGTTTCTCTTCTTACCGTCATCTATCATGGGCAAAATTAGTCTCCCCCTTTCCTTTCCATATGGCAATGTATCACACACTGAATGTTGTCATTTTTTGATTGTTGGGAATAAACAGTGCTCTCCTCTTTAATAGCCATCATTCAGAGTTATTGAAATCCCTGTGTTTATTATGGTCTGACCTGTTCCAGGACTTACCACTCTTATCACAGTACATGTGGAGGCTGCTCTGCAGCCAAGAAGAATTTTGAGAGAGAAGATGAAGTCATATAACAGGTGTAAAGGTGATGGGACTTCACAGATGTTATTGGCTGTTATGTCTGGACTGCGACTGTAACCTTTTCAGCTTTGTTAAGGTTTGCATATCTGAAGTCCCACAGTATACATGAAAAAATCTCCAATGGGCTTTGAAAATCCAGAACAAAGGGAACTGAACACCTATGAGAAGAAGGTTAGATAAACAACCTACTCTGCATTTCTGAAGTTATTTGTTAAGAAAGATTCATCGGTGGCCACTCAACACCTGTGTGTGTTAGAAATATTTCCAAATAATTGTTACTGGAAGTGGAAGCCTGCAAGTGCAGTAAATAATAACCAGATGGGATAATTCTGCAGCTTTTGGTGGGATATTCCACTTTTGAGCATTCATTAGATACCCTAATTTCATATTAACACATAATTTCATAATGTATAATATTCTTTTTTTACATGTTTTTCTTTCCTTAGAAAATGTTTTGCTATCCACAATCCTTTGGAATGTTCTGCTTATGGTGACCACTAGAACAGTTCTTCTCTTGAGGGTGTGTGCAACAACCCACCCTTAAGGGGGAGGAAGCACCTGTCACAGTGTCCCTTGCGTCTTTTGACATCAAATGCTCATCTAGAGTCTGTCTGAAAGTTTACCATTCCCTGTAAATGCTCTCTATTGTGAAGTTAACTAAAAAAATATCTGCAAATTAATTTTAATCTGAGTTTGCTAGTCCACAAAATCTAATAGGGCTGTTTCTATTTATAATCAGCTTGAGAAAACTCATGTAAAACTTACATAAAAATGGTAAAAGCTGTATCCTAGCACTTCAATATAAGGTCCAAGCACCTCCTGTTAGGCAATTCAGCATAACATCTTTGCCAAACCTAGAATGTGCCATGCTCCCATGTTGTGAAGAAGTTACTATTTTTTCATTTTCTTTCCCTGTAGGATGGATTTCCATCCTTGTTTCAGCTTTTGGCATAGACCTATTTCTATGCCTTGGCAGATTAAATTTGACTAATTAAGAGGATTTTATCCATTAGTGGGAAGTTTTCAGACCTACGGGAAAACAGTAGGACTGCCAGTTTTAGTGTCTGCTCCTAATTTTATTGCAAAATCAGCATCTTATATTACTTTAGGCAATGACACTGTTGAAGGCAGCTTAAAAAATCCATTTTTGTGGCTGTGTTGGGTGGGGGGAGGAGGTGTGGGTAATACCTGTAACTATATGATATTTCCAGACAGATCACATGATGGTGCTCTTTGGCTTCTCCAATGCTAAAGCTCTTTCAGTGAGTAATGAGAAGACAATTATTTCAGATGGCCAAAACTGTCTCTGGATTGGTTCTCTTTCATCTGCCAGTGAATCAATTTAAGCACTTATATATAGAATAAGATAAACTGGTTTGAAATTGCAACTTGAACAATACATGCTCCATAAAGCACCAAAACCAGTAGTAGCTACTGTATGTAATAACTTATAATACTCTTATGTAATAACTCCTTGCAGTAGCAGCCCAAGTTAAATGTAAGTAGGATTGAAATGTTTCTGGAATCTGAATTAATGATTTTCCTGCTTTTGCCTCTCTCATTTTCCTCCTCTTAGCCTGTCCCCTTGGTTTTTTTAAAGTATCTGTGGGAGATGACCCCTGCCATCTATGCCCTGCTCACAGCCATGCTCCACTGCCAGGTTCCCGTGAATGTGTGTGTCAGAAACACTACTATCGATCTGCTTCAGACAATTCTGATGCTCCCTGCACTGGTAAGTTTTTGGATGGAGTGTTTGAAAACAAGAAAGGCAGTTAATAAGAGATAATGTGCCTGAATGATTCAGGAGAGTTGCAATTCACCTCTTCTCATGACCTCTGAAATAACCCAAAACTTCCCTTTGCTCCTGCAGTTGACTACAAGGTATATCCACTCACTGAATATAGATGAGAAAGCAGAAATGTTCCCACATGCTTCTGACAATGCTGATAATTTGGTGAAACTATATTGAGAAGGCTGGAGTGTTGCAATACTAGATGCTCAGAAATGAAAAGACATCAAGTTGTAGATCCAACCTTAAATAAGTACATTGCACATATGCGTAAGGTACAACTTTTCATGAGAGAATAACATACTAATTTCTTATGCAATGCTAGTCTCATTTCATACACAACTGAAGGAGTTAATTGAAGGTGTTCATTGCAGGAGTTAATCAGTGCTTTCTTCCCTTTATCATTCAGAGTGTGAAAACCATATTTACTGTACAGAATTCATTTTCTGAAAATTTTGTTTATGGAAAAATTGTTCCTTTTTTCATTAGTTTCTCTGTGGTTCTCATCAGTTATGATATTTCCCAGTTGTTGATATTAATAGGCCAAGAAATATCATAGAATCAACTGGATTGGAAAAGATCTCTAAGATCAACAAGTCCAACCCTACCATGGTTACCAGACCATGGCACTAAGTGCCACATCCAGTCTCATCTTGAAAACCTCCAGGGATGGTGAATCCACCACCTCCCCGGGCAGCCCATTCCAATGCCTGATTACTCTCTCCGTAAAAAATCTCTTCCTAGTATCTAACCTAAACCTGCCCTGGCAAAGCTTGAGTCTGTGCCCTCTTGTCCTACTGCTAATTGCCTGCAAGAAGAGACCAACCCCCACCTGACTACAACCTTCCTTCAGGTAGCTGTAAAGGGTGATAAGGTCTCCCCTGAGCCTTCTCTTCTCCAGGCTAAACAATTCCAGCTCCCTCAGCCTCTCCTCATAGCACTTGTGCTTGAGTCCCTTCACCAGCCTCATTGCTCTTCTCTGGACCTGCTCCAGCACTTCAATATCTCTCCTGAGCTAAGGAGCCCAGAACTGCACACAGTCCTCAAGGTTTGGCCTCACCACTGTCAAGAACAGGGGAAGAATCACTTCCCTGGTCCTGCTGACCACACTGTTCCAGATCCAGGCCAGGATGCCATTGGCCTTCTTGGCCACCTGAGCACACTGCTGGCTCATGTTCAGCTTCCTGTCTATCTAAACTCCCAGGTCCCTTTCTGCCTGGCTGCTCTCCAGCCACTCTGTCCCCAGCCTGTAGCACTGCATGGGATTGTTATGGCCAAAGTGCAGGACCTGACAGATGCAGAAAATGAAATAAAGTTAGTGATTAGCGCTCAAAAATGTAGTTTAAGTAATGTATCAAAACATCACCCTTGAACTTGTGGCAGTGACAAGGAAATGAATTGTGGCTCTGAAGTTAAATACTCAGAAGTTAGGAAATGTGATTGGGAGTTTTGTCTGTAATCCCCTGCTTGCTGTACTGCACAGAATCCTCTTCAGCGACCAACATCAAGCAATCTGTACTTCACAAGGATTATTTCTCCTGAACAGTTATCTATCCTTTGCATTGACTATGATAAAATGCTCAGGGAAAACTAGTATATGATCATGCGGTTAAATACTATACCACAGTACAAATGTTGAGTGTCCCAGTCAAGACCACAAAAGAAAATTTAATTCTGACATTTCCTGATTTACAAATACTTCATCGTGTCAGTAATACATTTTTTAAACAGGCTTCTGTGTGCAAATTTTCAACATAATTTATGTTTTTAATAGTATTGGAAATAAAGCTATAGGAAATACTCAATTGCTCCAGCAATGAACTAAATTGCAGCCAGAAAGATCCCTCATGAAGACCTCGTCCACCTGTACTAATAGATGATATAATTTATATTGCAAAGCATTAAACATGGAAGAGGTTTTGCTTTTTCATCAACATTTTTTGACTGTAGAGTAATGGCATGAATGAGGATTCTTGGATTTCATTACAGCCTTCATGGGGAAATGTTCTGGAAATAGTTTCCCTTGCCCCTCCCCAATACTGAGCTCAGCCTCTGTGTCAGTCCCCTTCCTGTCTTGCTTTGTGTCTGTGCCAAGTTTTAGCAGTGCAACACTGATGCCTATTTTTACCTCTGAACTTTTCACTTTTTAGCTGCAGTGTCTTGTCCTGTTCTTTTCCCCATTCTGTCTTCTCACCCTCTGCATTTTCCTCCTTCCCTTCACTGTCGCTCTGGCAGCAGGGGATGTGTTGGATGCACAGAATGGACAGTGTTTCAGCTGTCAGAGTTTACCACTGATGCCACTGGCATGATCCAACTGGCATCAGGAATAATCATAGGGAAACTGATGTTCAGTTCCTGCAGTAGATGGGACAGGGTAATTGAAGTTCAGAGATATTAGGTGCCAGAGGAGAAAATCAGAGGTCTCAGTAGAGACAAACCTTTACTAAGCTTGTGCAAAATTTAAAATTCCGAAGAACTGGCATTTCCCTAAATAGCTGTTCTTTTAGGGAAAAGAAAAAGTCACGCCCTTGAAACAGAGATCCTTCTTTATAATTTTGTTTCTCTAAAGTGTGATAATACAGTTGCTCCTTTGTTTATGTCAGTGTGTGTTTGTTGTAGCAAAGAATGTTTTTCTTACCTTTGTTATCAGAGAAACAACTGGAGAAGAGTAAGAATGAGAAGAAAAAGCAACTTATGCTTCTGTTCTTTTCCCTTTCCTTTGTCTTCTCCCCTCCCCCATCTCTCATTTTTTCATGGGATTTTAATCTTTCGTTCTGTCTTCTAGGCATCCCCTCTGCTCCTCGTGACCTTAGCTATGAGGTTGTTGGCTCCAACGTGCTCCTGACATGGCGCCTCCCCAGGGACCTGGGTGGCCGCAAGGATGTTTTCTTCAATGTCATCTGCAAAGTCTGCCCATCAGGGTCCTCAGGGCCATGCGTGCGCTGTGGGGACAGCGTACAATTTGAACCACGCCAAGTGGGCCTGACAGAAAGCCGTGTTCAAGTCTCCAACCTCTTGGCCCGTGTGCAGTACACCTTTGAGATCCAGGCTGTCAACTTGGTGACTGAATTGAGTTCAGAAGCGCCTCACTATGCCACCATCAATGTTAGCACCAGCCAGTCAGGTGAGGAGACTCCTGCATCCGAGTCCCAGCATTTCTACTTCTGTCTCTCATTTGATTTGCTTTTGTCTTTCAAATCCTGGAACTTTGTCTTTTAAATTGTGTGTTGTGCCCTATTTATGGTGCCCTGCTAGCTCCACGCTTTCACTTCTGCCCTTCTCATTCCTGCCTTCTCTGAATCGGCTTTCTATTCTTCCTTCTTGGCAGAAAAACTGAGTTTAGCAGATGATGTGATTGTTGGGGAAGAAGCTGCCCTGGAGAAGATGCCCATGGGAGATATAGTTTTATAGGTCACACAAAGCATGTTGGTTCATTGTGCGAGGGAGGGGACACTGTCAGGGTTTGACAGTGATTTTGTGAGCACCAGCTTGCCACAGCAGCTCTTAGCAAGCATTTCTTAATTTTGTCTTCATCTTCTCCATTTCATCTTATCCTTCAGCTAGTCTTTCTAGCATTTGTCACCTGTTCACTTTTCTTTTTTGTCTGTGTTTTGAGAGACTCTGGTTTTCAGTCCTGTCTTGTTCCTATGCAACACCTTCTATTCTCCTCATTTCAGTTATATATATATATATACTCATTTCCTAAATATACACATTCCTGAGGTGGCATATGTAGTCCTGTGGGTCATAAAAGGATGTGAAAACTATAGTTTTATAATACTTGGCAAGGTGTTAAATGGAATTTTAACAAAGTATCCAGAAGCAGAATCACCATTCCTGTTTTGCTGAAACTGGTCTGTGTTCTTCTGCATGACATATCTTTTTTTCTCCCTTGTCCTTGCCTTTTCAACCTTGCTGTTCTGGAATATTATTCTCCTGTTAATAATATAAATTTATTTTTTTATTACATGGTAGAAATATTAAAATATATTGTACAGCTATAGTAAAGGTGGTGTGACCCTTATAATAGGAACTACACCATGGGGATGACTAAACTAAGATACTAATTTCTTGTGTAGACAGTCAGAGGAATTCTGGTTTCCTGTAAGTGTCATGTACAATGACTGGCGCTGAAAAGAGTCACATGCATATAGGCATAGATTTCTGCTAAATGTCATCATTAAGAGTCATGGCATATGTTGTTCTTTACAAACATGTATAAGCTAATACAGAGAGGAATTGTACACAACTTGTTTATGAGGATATAAGGAGGACTAATGTGATGAGAAGGAGAAAGAGGGGGAACATTTTGAATTGAGTGACAGAAAATGTCTGTAAACATTTAAAGGAGTGTAACTGTTAAACTGAAACAAATCCTGAATGTGATTCTAGAGTGTAGTGTGGAAACCACTGAAAATGAGGTTTTGGCAAAGCTCAAGAAAAGTACTGTGAAACCAGATGTGGCATCATGATCTTGGTTAAATCAAATCTTATCATTTCTACTTCTATGATATGGAAAGAGAGGGAATATATACACACACCAAGTGATTTCTTGCTGTTGGCAGATACCAGGGGTATTTGTGTTGACAACATCTGTTTCTTCCCTTTGAAATATTACCTGACAGACATTAAGTAGCAGAGCATCTATAGCATACCCAGTCCTCATAAGAGGCTGGCTGCAAGTGGGTGATCAGTTTTTGTTTACAAAATGTGGTTGGGTAGGTTGTATGGTAATTCTAGGCAGTTCCTTTGGCTTCTCCTGTAGATAGGTGGGTGTTCTATTAACATCCTACAGAATTCTCTTTCTTGATGCTTCTCATCTCAACCTTCTTCATCTATATTGGAGATAATTTAATCGAGCAATTGCTTCCTTCTCCTGCCTGGAATCACCAAATCTACCATCTTCTTTTGCTTTTCTGATTTTCTGTCCGCTTCTGTTCCTCCAGGTTCCCCTTGATGTCTCTGGGTGTGTTGGATGTCTCTCTCTGAGACGCCTCTCTTGTGCACTGAAACAGTTTCAGGGGAGGCCAGCTTTCTTAAATGGCAATATGTACTGAATGGCTTCTTTTTGTGTTTGGTCGGAGGTTTTATTTCCTTGCTCTTCCTCAGGATTGTTAGCAGTGATCATGAGATGAGCTGCCCTCGATTTGTAGTGACAGCTCATACTAACAAGGCCCTGCTTCCTCTGTCACGTGTCTCATCCATACCCCCTCCTTTTGATCCCTTCAGCAGCTTTTCACTTCAGCATGGCTCCTTGTTGTTGGTGTGTTATTATAACTATTGTTATTGTTATTGTTACTGTTACTGTTACTATTGTTGTTGTTGTTATTATTATTATTATTGTTATTATTATTATTATTGTTATTATTGTTATTATTATTATTGTACAAGCAGAGATGGAAATTTCAGGATCTTATATACTGAAAGAGACAAAAAGGGTACAGGAAGGCATGAAGAACATACAAAAAAAAAGCAAACTGGACCAAGACACGTTTCCAGAATAGAGGGCCATAGCAAAAATTTTCTTTCCATTGAATTAAATATGACTGAAAAAAGACTCTCCATCCTGGCATTTTCTGAAAATTCTGGTTACTTATGCATCAGAGTTCTCTTGCTTCTTCCAGCTGCTGATAAAAAAAAATCCTCCTGCCCCTTTGTTAGAGGAATCTTAGGCAATATTCTGTGTTGGAGCGGTTCTACTTTTTCTTTTTCCCATGGTATCTATTAGCTCTTCATCTTTGTCTCCAAAACATTGTTCATCTAAGAGTTTGCTTACCCTTCACAGTTTTCTGGCCCTTCTTCAAAGTAGAATAGGATCCTCTGGTTACACAATCACATTTTTTTCTGTGGGAGACTGATAATGGTGTTCCTACTCTTCAGTGACTATGTATCTGAAATCAGAATAAGAAGGGCTGGCACTGAAAAACATCCTTTACTATAATAAGACTTAACTGTAACCTGAAACATGTTTGCACAGTAATAATAAAACCTGTTTGGATCGTAGTAGTATGACACACAAATGTGATATGCTAATTACTGGAAGGAAGAACTGTACAGAGATGAGACAAGAGAAGGGAATTGTTTGCAGCTAAGGTTTGAAGTGTTGAGGGTGAATACCTCAACAAGTGTCAGGATACCTCAAGAAGTGTCAGGATATAGAGAAAGATGTTGGAAGACTCTTCCAGGTAGCAGGAACTACATGAGGAAAGGTTATTATGTATTTCCAATGGAGTTATGCTTCTTCACAAGTGGAAACCTGACACAAAGAAAGCAAAGAACTTCAATCATATTATTAAAAAAAAAACCTGACTGAAATTTCATTCATCGTTTTAACATCTTCAATTGTATTTATCAGGGTAAACAAATATCTCTTCTCATGTCTCAGGACAGAAGTCAGGTTTTCATTTAAAGGACTGTGAGGAAAATTTCTCTGTGCACAGCTGTAACTACCTGTCTGGGTTTTTTTCCTACACCATCCATTGAAGCATGTAGTAATGTCTGTTGCCAGAGACATGCTTCTGAGCTTATTCATTCAGGCAGTTGTTACATTCTTAGAAAGAAGAGGAAAAGAGAAAGGCAGCAGAGACTCAAATGTTGGAGCAAATCAATGCACACTTTTAAAAGCAAGTGGATTTTTTTAGAACTAAATTGAGACATTATGAGAGCTAATGGAGGTATGTGAGGATAAAGGTTTGACCTGTTTGACCAGGTTGCCTTGTACCTCTGAAAGGGTGTGTAGCAGCCTTCTGCATCAATTGGAATCAGAGCAGTGGGACCTTGCAATACCAAAAATCTGTAGCACTGCAGAAATGAGTGCTATACAGTCTGAAGGCTTGTGTAAGAGGCTGAATGGGGACAAGGACAGTTATGGGTAGTGCCAGGAAATTTAAGAGGACCTGACATAAAATTTTCAGGTGAAATGGTGTGAGAAGAGGAAAAGAATTAAATGCCAAGTATGATTATGAGATTATGAAGGAAAAGGGATGAAATGCTTGAAGATGTTTGCTTTTCCCAAAAGAGCCAAAGGAGTACAGTAGACTTAGTTGGCAAGAGCAGGGACACAGGCAAGGCATTTTATTGTTCAAAACAAGAAAGGAATAAGACGAGAGCTGTCAAAAGCTGCATACTACTGCGTTTTGGCAGGCTAAAGTCAGCAGGTAAAGCAAATAGAGTAGAGCTCTGTGTTCATTGTCCTCTGGATGAACTACATTGTTCTTCAAATAATAAGCTGTTTGCTTATTTATGACCTAATTGCCAGCCATGAGCACTTGCCAAAGGTCCCTAAGCATTTAACTTTTTTGTTTTCTGTTCACATAGGAATGACAAAAATACTCTTTTACGTTTTAATTTTTCCCTTAGTGACATTAGTGACATTTGTCAACTTAGCCATCTTCAGTGGATTTTCCCAGCTATGAGTAGGAATTAATAACAATTTTTATGGTCACTCAACAAAAACTATTCCAGTTTATCTCTTTACTATGCCAAATCTCTGCAGCATGAGCAGAGGATGAATGTGCTTGTTTTCACAGTTCGGGTTTTACCTACTGTTTAAATGAAGACAGAAACACACCCCATGTGAAAAGAACAAAATGATTAAAAGTGGCAAATCAACATAGAACTGGACACACTTGTGTACACAAAACAAGCTTTGAAAGCAAAGTTCTGTTATAAACATTTTTAATAGTTGGCATGTATATAGAGGAAAACACTTGCCTGTCAGTTTTGTGCCAGCAGAGGTATGGTGTTTGGATGTTGTCTGTAGACATAAAACCTTGAACCTTATATTTCCTGATGTATTAACACTGGGAGAGTAACTTTATCATACAATTCTGGCAGGAAATATGTACTTACTCCACCAACAAATATGTTAACATTTCATGTCACCTTAGCATTAGTATTCGCATCATATTAGTATAAAACTTGTCAGAGGAGAAATCTTTATATCTCTTTTACTTGAACTGGTGGGAGAGCTCCCTGGCCAGTGTTTCATAAATTTTGTCCTTAAAAGAGATACACTTGAGTGATTTCTTTTTAATGTTTTCCAGCATTTCTAATTCCAGTAGTTGTAACCTGCTTCTGCATGCTGCCCATCTGAGTAGAGTACCATTTATCTTCATTGTCCTGGTGCAGGTTTTGCTGTGCACAAACATACTGTGCACAGTGCCAGCTTGGATCTTTGTAGCGCTGGCAAAAGATAACCTGTCGATCCATAGCTAAAAATTGATAGCACATATTAACATCAGAATGGATACGTTTTTACTAAAATGAAGGTCAGATGTTGCTAGTTGACTGTGAGTATTTCTTCCAGGTAGGGGAAAAATTGAGGATTGGGAAGAAATGAGAAGGATGGGAAGAATAACTGTTGGAGGTGGGAAGGAGAGGAATGGAGGGAAGATTGAACTCTGATCATTCTGCAAAATATTAATCCAAAACTAGAAGGAACTGGACTCTTCCCTGGCAGTGTAGCTGTGTATTTAGGTTTGCACCCTTCCCTGTGCGTGTGCATTATGTTCTATCAGAAGGAAGTTAAACTTTGTATAACATTAAAATGTGGCAACATCTGTCTTGATCAAATGTTAACTGACCAGTTGCCTCCTGATATTTGAATACAGTGTTATTCATGTGTGTCTTAATAACTTGTCATTAGCAGGTGAAGCAGTTGTGCAATCTTGTTTGAAAGACAAGCAGTGATGAGAAATAGAAGGACCGAAGATGAGAGACAGCATTTTATCTTTTATACTCTTGCATTTTGTTTCATTTACATTTTTAAACCAGTTCCCACTGCCTGAGCCATTTGGAGCCTATCTGAATTATGTTTTTCAGAATAATTTTATCTTCTTATTAAAAAGAATCCTTTTATCTTTTTCACAATTAATGAGGAAAGAAAATGCTATTCTGCAGTTTTTGATCATTTGCCTAAAGTCTCTTCTTCGTTCCTCACATCAAGGAAGTTTACGTCTTTTGTGTAAAACCAGTGGGGTTAGGTCACAGCTTTTCATTGGCATGCTTTTTCTGGAAAATTTAAACATTGCTGAAAATGTTGCATCCATAAAGAAAATGAGGATTTCCTAGTTGCTTACCTGGAGATTTCTTGAGAACATGACATTTTGCTTGCAGAGAGAAAGTAAAACTTGAGAAGAGCTTTATGGACAGTCAGCTGGCAGGCTGAAAGATCCTCTTACAATTATCCTGGAGTTTTTGCTTGGAATTCTCTTCCTAAGATGAAGCTCATATTCTTCTAGCTTTTGCATGAACCTGCAGAGTGTGCATGTGTGTGCACATGGATTCATGGATGTTTTTGGTAGAAATGGGTTTCCATTCTCCAGTAAGCTTCATGTGCAGGTGGTTTTAACAGCCATTCATCTCCCTTCCTGCTCTGAGGACTTTTTTTTAAAGAGATACTTTAGGACAAGGTCTGCCATTAAATAGATATTCACTATTTTCTCCAGAACATGTGACTGGTCCCTATAAGAGGACAAAAACTGAAAAGCAAAACTACTCCAAATAGTTGCTTGTATTGTATCTCATTGTAATCTCATTTTAGTTCAGTGAACAGTGTTTGAAACTGTTAATCATACTATTGTCAAGATCATATTGTGTTTCATTCCTACCGGTTTAATGAGTTCCAGGCTAGTGGGAATTAATGGCAGTTACACAAGTCTGCCTTCAGACTTTGAGAATAACTAATCAAAAATTGTCTAACATTGGTAGACAAAAGTTCTTGTTTGCTTTCTGGTTTGGATTCATGCTTCCAAATCCTTCTTTTATGTTTGTTATGTCCAGATGCATGCTTTCTACATAAAGGGAAGTTGCCATTTTCCCACAGTAATTAATATCTGACAGGGACTGTAAGTACTTAATACCATAATGGAATCAAGAGAGCTAACAGCTCCATCTGGGTAGTATTCCAGACTGGCCTGTTCACCAAAAGACAGAAAATTAGCAAGCTATTTTAGAACAGAAGAAAAATTATATGTGAAGCATACATACCCACGCACTTAGCAGTGACCTTTAGGTGATAGTTCCAGGCAGCAGTGCTAGTTAGACGCCCATTCAGACTGGACTTCTGTGGTCCAGTCTCACATACAGTGATAGTTTTGATGTCTGGGCAACAGTTCTGGCAAGGATTGGCCTGAGTTTCCAGGAGCTGGTCTGAACACAAGGCTGCGTATCTGGCTGTGAAAAGGAAGTGCTTTCATTCTCTGTTATCTGTAACTGAACAGAGACCACTGAGCTGAGGCATACTCTAAAGTCTGTTCCTTAACATGTCGTTGTTCTCATCTGCCTCCATCTTCTGGTTTGCAGCAATGATCTGGTATTGCAAGGCCTCTGTTACTCTGGTAGCCCATACTTGTTTTGTTTTTTTTTCCCCATGCAAAGAATTATAATCTGGGCAAGAAGCAGAGGAGACGTAGTGTGTTCTGCTTTTGTTAAGACCACTGTCACATTCTTTGTCCAGGTGTGATCCTAGAACAAGGCAGTGGCAATGAACACCTTCTCTTCTTGCATGTAAAAATTGCAAATTTGAAGATCAGAATTACGTTTAGCTACAATGTAGATAATTTCTTAATTCCTGTGCATGATCAGTTGGATGTGGATTTCTTTGTTTTCTTTCTGTCTGAGTTGTGAATGACTGAATCTCCCAGCAGACTAGTATTGTGCCTGAGTTTCTTCTGGCTATTTTACAAAGTACTTCATAATGCAAATTAAGGGAAATTAAAAGAAGAGCTGACCTAATTTATTAACTCATCATAATGAATGTTCTATTATAGGTCATTGTTAAGCTTATCCCTTTGCAATTTCTCCTTTCTCTCTTTCATTCCAGTCCCCTCTGCTGTCCCTATGATGCATCAGGTGAGTCGTACTACCAATAGCATCACACTGTCATGGCCTCAGCCGGACCAGCCCAATGGGATCATCCTGGATTACCAGCTACGCTACTTTGACAAGGTGAGCAGAAAGTGATACTGCGCTGGTTGTTCTATGGAGAACAGGGAAATCCTCTGTCTGGCAGATGCATCCCTGGATCAGATGAATAAGACAGAGAAAAAGGCTTCAATTATGAGGAAAGAACAAACTGTACCAATACCAGAAGTTTGTAATATATGCTTCATCTGACATCAGTCCGTCTGCATTTCCCAACTTGGAATCATCTAGTGACAAATGCAAATTCAAAAAAAAAAAAAAAAAGGTAGACACTTGTTTAAGCTGAAAACTGGCTAATAGTAAGTTTAGCTTCAGGTGACACAGGTAACAGTGGAAGGACCTGAAACTTACAGATGTGCATATTGGAGTTGGACACATTGCAACAGTCTGTCATGTGTTTGTAGGGGGAAGTCCTATGTCCCCATTTATCACTGGACAGGTATCTCTAAGAATTTTTGTGAGGAGGAACGTACTCTCTCATTCAATATGTGGCAATATCAGTTGCCTATTTATGTGCTGGAATTGCAGGGTGGTAAATACAAAGTTGTTCTCCATTCACATCTTTTGTGACTCCTTATCTGTCTGATTTGAGGGGAAGAGGTATGTGGAGCTGTCCAGACAAGCTCTCATTCCATATTCTTCATTTTTCACATAAATATTTATGCAGGATTGTGCAGGGCTACTGTTTTTCTATAGTAAAAGGGGTTACTATTTGTGATGAAGTGTCTAGCAGCTTCCTGGATACAGCACTACGTGTGTTCATACTCTGGATTCTTCTAGGAGAATACATGAGTTTGGAGTTTGTAGAAAGCAAAATTTCAGGACAGACTGTGGCATTTTTATGGATATGCTTAGCAAGGAACCACAGGACACTATAGTTTTGTCTCTCACTCTGGTTTAGACTGAGGATCTTTAGCAGAGCTTCTTGGGAAACCCAGGCCTAAGAGAATAAAAATGAGAATGAGGAATGAGTAGTGTGCGAGGAAGTAAGATCTGGAATAGCAGCTGTGGCAGTCTCTGTAGTGGGTTCAAAGAATATTGGGCTGACATGGAAACTATCATGTCTTGACGAGGAGAGTGAGCAGTGTAGGCAGAAGTTTCATGTTCTTTTTTGGTTACTGACATGCACAGGCAGAAGATGAGGATAATTCATTCACCTTAACTAGTGAAACCAACATGGCCACCATATCAAGTCTGAGCCCAGGCAAGATCTATGCCTTCCAAGTACGAGCTAGAACAACAGTGGGCTACGGCCCATACAGTGGGAAGATGTATTTCCAGACTTTAATGGGAGGTAAGTGCTACCATTTTGTACTCAGATCTGCACATGATCATCTTTCACTTGTGTGTGTCCTTAAGTGTATTAGCTTCTCCACTGGAAGACCAGTACCAGAGACTCCTACTGCACTTATATTTCTGTACATCGTAATTTGCATATGCAGATCTGTTCACTCGAAGAAGCTCCATGCTATCGGAATATATTGTTTACACTATTGCCATACTCCCCAGTCCTGCTTCTTGTGCCTCTGTGTCAGTAGAGCTCTCTTTAAGAAGATGTTACAATACATAGCACTATACGCTGCTGCAGTTTCACGGGCAGCTGTCATAGGACATATTACATCTGAATGTTCTTTAAAGGTCTTAAAGATAGGTGGGACACAGGACACAAAGTTAGATAGGACACAGGCATCCATGCAGAAGCTTGACTTCAGCAGTATCACCATCTATTTGGTATGGATCAAAGGTGCCAGTGCACAAGGGGAAGGAAGAGTGAATTCAAAGGGAGCACTGGCTTTTCAGAAGTAGGAAGGCAGGCACTGGAGAAGCACAGTGACTGTGAAGCAAAGGGCTGGTAGGGATGAGACCTGGTTGAGTAGAAGGGAACCTCTAACAATTTCTGTCCTCTGCATTTGTGTCTGTGTATGCACATATTTCCTTCCTAGGGGAGCGCTCGGAGATGGTGCAGGACCGACTGCCGCTTATCGTGGGCTCAGCGCTCGGTGGTCTAGCCTTCTTGGTAATTGCTGCCATTGCCATCCTTGCCATCATCTTCAAGAGGTGAATTCCTTGACCTGCTCATGTGCACTTCAGACAGTGGAACTTTCTTACCCCCGCAACATAACCCTGTCCCAAGGGAAACAGCCTGATCTACATTTATCCAGATGTCCTTGAGATGCCATTTTCTAATTAAAGAAAGATCCTGCCCCATTACTGTTATCTGAGGAGCCTCTCCTTTGGTAAACCACTCATGTACTTAGCTGATATTTGGCTAGTTAGTAATGTGAACACAAGGAAAATGTTTTAAAGAAAACATCACTGTAAGGAAGGGTTTGTAAATTGCATTTTAGGCAAGCAAGTGGAGAACGAAACAATGTAGTGGGAAGGACTCCTGGAATAGGTATTCAGATTCAGTTATTTAGAAGGTGCTAAATACCCTTTAACCAAGAATCAAGAAACAGGAGCTCATTTGCTGAAGAATAAAATCTGTACAACCCCAGTTGGTACCATGGAACACTAACTCATACAATATAGGTTAAAAAAAGCAAATACCACATCCCATTTTGGGAAGACAAAAGGGCATATAAGTCATTGTAGAGACAATCTGTTATAGCAAAAAAGAAGGACAGAGTTCTTAAAGAGAAAGAGAGAAATATAAGAGTTGCTACTTTTGTAGAGATACAGAAGTAAATAAGGGGGTTTTTGTTATTTGAAGAAAAGAAACAGTCATTACCTGCTCTTTGAATTTACTGAGATTTGAACTTAATCCCCTAGATTGTCAGTAATGGATTTCCCTATCTTTTCTCTACTGTGCCTCTGTACAAGAGGGACTTCTTAGCTTTTTTTCTGCTGACCTAAAAAAAATGTATAAACTACTGAACTTTAGAAGGTGGTATCTAGCTTTAGTGATTTCTTTTTTGTTCCCTTCCCTTTTCTACATTTGTTTTCCCCTTCTATGTATATTCTCTTTTATCATTTTTCTTTCTGCAAAGAAAAGAATTATCAAATATTGTTATATTTGAATTGTTGCCTCTTTTTGTAGCTTTGAACTGTTAAAAAGTATAATTTCATGTTATAGCTGGAAATGTGATATTATGTGCACAACTCAATAAAGCATATATTTTTCTTAAAAAAATAAATAAACCAAACCCAGAATAAGTTAATATTACCAAATCTGTCTTGGGGAAAGATGTTAATGGGTATCTGTAAATATATATACATAAAAGGCAATATCATAAAAAATAGATTCTTTTATACTGAAGTGACAATGTACAATTAATAGACAGTTGTTAAGAAAAAGCAGTGATACCAGATTTCAATTTTAAATTTGTCCTTAATAAGAAAAGTAAGTTTGAAGATGCAGGAAATGAGGAACACCACATGAAATAAGTAGTTCTTTAAAAGTTTAAACACATGTAGACTCAAATGCTATGACTTTAACTTGTTTTTATAAATGGTTGGTATGCATTTTTGAGGCAATATGCAGTGTGAAACACCTATTTTAGGTAATTGTTTTGGTTTTGGTTTTTTTTTTAAAAGAGAAGAAAACCAATAATATGTCAGATAGCCTATAAAAAAACATTAATGTAGACCTGACTTTCAGCAAAGTTAGAGCTCTTAGGTGTAGGCCCCCAGTAAAGCAAATTTCTTTCCACAACAGAACAGAATTAGAAGGTAGAATTGTCTGTGGTTTTGAAAACTTAGCAGAATTTAATGAGCTTGACAAGTAAGAATAATACACAATTACTTGTTAAAATGACAGTATTAGTTATGTTAGTAAAAAAAAGGTAATTTAATGTTTCATGATACTCTGTCTTCAGATGCTAATTGAATCAGCAGCTAAAAGGTCTTGTGCTAAAACAGCAAAGCCTATGAGTTGACACAAATCCGTGCATACAGCAGGGATACTACAGGACACCATAGGGTTTGATTTACAGTCTTGTATAATTAATATAATTGTTGTAAACTAGTGTGAAATTGTACATTTGGGGGGGAAAAATGAACACTGTCGGAAAGTGGCTTGAAAATTGAAAATTGTTTAGGGCAAACCATTAATAGGATGAAACTTAGAAAACAATTAGGTCATGTGTGGAAAATGCTGCTTGAATCACACACATTTAGAAGGAGAATAAAATCTGAGAAATGCCTATGCTGAGAAGGACCTATGCTTACTGAAAATTAGATGCATAAATGCAATACATAGTACAATAATAAAGACACACCTTCTTTGATCTGCACACGCAAAAATCACATCACAGAACAGATTTCTTTCCATCTGGGTCTCTGTGGTTGGGTTTGGGTACCATACTTACGAATAAGAATAGCCAAAGTAAATGCTGTTAAGAGTCCAGGAGGAAAAATAATTGAGGGAAGTATATACAAATTAAGCATTAGAGTAAATGGCTCATAGAATGTTTTTGAAGAACTTAAAAGGCCTCACAGGAGATGGCTTTGATTATTATTGAAAAGAATAATTTGTTGCAATTAAATGGAATTAAAATGAAAATTCATCCTGAATAGCAAGAGAATTTCCGAGACAGTAATGTTGAACTGTAATATTTTTTTTCAGGATAGTGATGGAGGCCCTATCATTTGTCATATCTAAAGTGGGGATGCAAGCAGTGCTGTAAAAACTACCACATAGAAAACAAGCATGCACAGGTTATCAGGAGATGGGCAGGATATTAACACCCATTCTTCTATCCCTAAATTCAAGGATTCTCTGAGCCTTGCATTGAGAAGTATACCCCAACATCCACTAAGAGACTTTTGTGTGTATTTTGACTTTCCTTTCCTTTATGTCCTGCAGTAAAAGGCGAGAAACTCCATACACAGACCGCCTGCAGCAGTATATCGGTGCACGAGGTAAGTGTTTTTAAGCCACAGAAGGCAAGGACCTGTCTGTTTTCAGGACTCATTAACACCCATCTGTCTCAAGGTTTGATTCTGGTGATGTTATGGGCTGTCTTCTCCACTGCAGGACTCGGAGTGAAGTATTACATTGATCCTTCGACCTATGAAGATCCCAATGAAGCTATTCGAGAATTTGCCAAGGAGATTGATGTGTCCCTTATCAAGATTGAGGAGGTCATTGGATCAGGTAGTTTGAGACTCAACAGATTTTAAAGCGGTTTTTTGTTTATCTTGGGACCTGGCACACTACTGACCTGAAATGAACCCACGGATTCATGGTACATCAAATGTCCCATGATAGCTAACCTTCATTTCTACCAAAATTATTCTTAACCTACTTACCCTTAGATGCTGGCTCCAAACCAAGTTTAAAACACCCTTTGAAGACTCAGAACTCCTCATTTGAACCTTGAAGGTGTAGTGTCCAGCCTTCATCAAGAACTTCACCTTAATCCGTACAGCTCTAGTAACCCCATTTCCAAGCAGTGCCTGTGGTTTTCCAAAGTAGAATGCTTTACTGCATTTGACTTAAATTCATTGTTGTGTTTCCTTACTTGAGGTGCATTTCTTCTCTCCCTGACAGGAGAGTTTGGAGAAGTGTGCTTTGGGCGCCTGAAACACCCAGGGAAGCGTGAATACACAGTAGCTATTAAGACCTTGAAGTCAGGTTACACAGATGAACAGCGGCGTGAGTTCCTGAGTGAGGCCAGCATCATGGGGCAATTTGAGCATCCCAATGTCATCCACCTGGAGGGTGTGGTCACCAAGAGCCGACCAGTCATGATTGTCACAGAGTTCATGGAGAATGGATCACTGGATTCCTTCCTCAGGGTACCACAACCAGAGTCTCCCACAGCAGTTACCTCTTCATCTTGCTGTGTGCCAGTCTCAGATATGATAATTTTGCCTGTCCTTCCTCTTCACTTCTGTCTCTATAAGTCCTCAGTTGCCCTCTTCAGGTGCAATAGAAATAATAGCAAATTACCAGAGTAAGTGGTTTTGAGCCAACATGAAAATATTTCACAAGCTTAACCATCATATAAAATTTCTTCAGTATTTTAGACTTCTCCAACTTGAATAACTAATGGTAAACAATACTAAATTGTTTATCTTTGTACACAGCTTTTCAGTTGCTTACATGCATGTTCCAAAGTTTGTCTTTCTAGTAATGTTTTTCAGACTTTACTCCACAGAATATTTTCACGTTTCATCATTGTAATGAAGTAATGAAACTTGCAGTTGTTTTTGAACTCATGGTTTCCAGTGGGTATTTTTCTGGTAACGAAACATAAATACAGACAATTTTCATAGTATAGCTGCTTCACTTCTCTTTTTTACTGATTCATATGCTAATTCAGCGACAAATGCTTTGGCAGGTACATTTTGAAGAACACATGAACCCATTGTGTAGAATTGCATAGAACCCCTTGTAAAGAATGTAGTAAGAGCAGATTTGTCTGTTCCCACTCATTTTGCAATCTTAGTAGGTAGTGAGAATTAGTTGTAGGAGGCTAAAGGAGGATGTGGCCACAAGAGGAGATTTGCTTTCAGAAAAAGGTCTGATTTCATTTTATATTCATTGCTTTAAGCCCACCCTCCTTTCTTATTTGCTGTCCCTGAACCTTCAGATTTTGGCTGAAGTTAAGACGTATGTTTTCTGACTTCATAAATCTACCTTGTTATCTTGCTCTTTGTTAGTCTTCCATGTTGGCTTCATGTTTTGTGGTCATAAAAGCCTCTGTTTGCCTCCTCACTTGCAGCAGAAGGAAGGACAGTTCAGTGTGTTACAACTAGTGGGAATGCTACGGGGAATTGCAGCTGGCATGCGATACCTTTCAGACATGAATTATGTGCATCGTGACCTGGCTGCACGTAACATCTTAGTCAACAGTAACCTTGTGTGCAAGGTGTCAGACTTCGGTTTGTCCCGCTTTCTGGAGGATGATGCCTCAAATCCCACCTATACTGGAGGTCTGGTGAGTTATTACTATTGTGCAAGTTACTACAGTGCTGACAGCTATGTTTTTTTTCCTGTGTTCCTCCTTGATTTGGTGTATTCTTTTTAGTTCATCTTAAGATCATAGAGTACAGTGGGGTGGAGCCTTCTATCTTTTGTGCAATTTGTTCCAAACCAATAAAAACTTAAAATAACTGAATAACTGATCCACTCTGCCCTGTGAGGTCTTGGTGCTGTTCTTTGTGGCATGATGGTGAATGGGTCAAACCTCAGAGCCTGATGCAGCTGTTATCTTCTCCCTTTAATTAGCTTTTTATGGAAAGAATAAAGGACTGGAGGATATTTATAGTGTATATAACAAGTATATTTATGGACTTAAAACCAACCATCAAATAACTTATTGCCTATGAAGGTCTGATACCTGTTGCCCGTACTACAAAAGGGCTGGGAGTATAACGGGTGGTTTGAAGATGAATGGGATGAAGAAGAATTCAGTCACTAGAAAGTGAAACAATTTTTAGATATGTACATTTTGAATAATCAGCACCTGAATAATACTGCATCTTGCAGGTCATACCTGCAGTCAGAGAGGTCATGATGGAAAGAGAAAGAAGTTAATGCTGGTCACTCAGTGTATCTTAGTGCTGCAGGTTGGAATTATTTAAATGCTTTAGATTTCCAAATGATTGGGACTTTCAGCAGGTTTTTGCTGTATGGTACTTTCAAATGCTGTAAGGTAAAGCTACGAAAGTTTAAATGTATTATATTGTGGGATTTGTAGCAGCAAGGAGGCATGATTCTCTGTTTTCATCTTCAATAAAACAAGGTGGAAACCTTGAACATATTTTGAATTTAAACTAACGATGTCTACAAGACAGAATCAACTGGACTGTCACCCCATGCTCAGCATTGTGTTGTGCTGCTAGCATCTGATTGTTTCAATGATGTCATTTTCACAAAGAGTCCTTATCTCACTAACATTCTGGTTACTTTCTGTCTGTTTTCTAGGGCTGCAAAATCCCCATCCGTTGGACTGCCCCTGAAGCTATCCAGTATCGCAAGTTCACCTCCTCCAGTGATGTCTGGAGTTACGGCATTGTCATGTGGGAGGTGATGTCCTATGGTGAGAGGCCTTACTGGGACATGTCCAATCAGGATGTAAGTTTTAGAAGTGATGAGAACATACATCTGCTTCTGTCCTGTGTCAATTCAAGTAGAAGAAAGCCATACACACCAAGTTGTTGAAGCTGTTTTGTCTTTTATTTTCCCAGGTGTGATAAAGCTTTGTTCTTCTTTTCCTGCAGGTAATTAATGCCATTGACCAGGACTATCGCCTGCCACCACCCCCGGACTGCCCAACTGTTTTGCACCTGCTGATGCTTGACTGCTGGCAGAAGGAGCGGGTCCAGAGACCCAAATTTGAGCAAATAGTCAGTGCTCTAGATAAAATGATTCGCAAGCCATCTGCCCTCAAAGCTGTTGGCACTGGGACCAGCAGGTGAGATGAGGATTTAATGCAAAATTATAGGACTTGTCTCTCAGTAGGCGTCATGAGGAAAAGAAAGCAGTAAATCAGGCTATATAGTGGGTTTTTTCCAACTCTCCTATCTGAGGCTGGGAATATATAGGAAGGAAAAAACGAAAGAGGAAGCAGGTTGGAAGAACTGTGTATCCTGATACAGTTAATGGGTGATGAGGAGTTTTGAGTGTTGAATATGATGAGAGACAAATCTCGATGAATTGCATTGAGGATGAATGAGTGAGGGATCAGAGAATGAAGGGAGGGACACATCTGGGTGCAGCTGCACAAGATACTCTGTGATCACACAATACTCTGTGATCACAAGCAATGATGAAGGAAAAGAAGACCTTAGCTTATGGAGGGGAGGAAGTCTCTAGAGAAGAATAATAATTAGAACTGCAGCTTGCATCCCATATTTTCCCAACTGCATTTTCAGCCTGATGGTGCCAGAGGCAGGAGGTCATCAAAGAAGAGGGGGTAAATGGTGCCAAGATTAGATAGCTGTTGGGGTGATGACAAAATTGCATCCTGCTGGCCTGGAGGGTTTTTCCCTGTGGTTATAAATCTTGTGTCAGTGAAATGTACTCCACAACTAAGGGAGGGAAAAAGTGTCTAGTAGTGCCCAGTTTACTAAAAGCAGCATGCAAAGTGTGTTACAGCTTTGGGACAGATTCAGATAATGAGGAAAAGGACAAATGCTATGTGTGAGCAGTAATTTCTTTGGCCTTTTACTGCTGTGCTTATATCTGATGGGTATTGTAGTTGAAACAACACATATTGTCTTATAGGTTACTATCTGATCCAAGGAGTGCATCTAGGAGAGGGAGAGCTAGTCATAAAGGTGAAAAGGTATATAAAGTCTCATCTCTCTTAGAAACCTCCCTACTGCAGCTCTTTACCCAGCTAATAGGTCTAGACTCAGAAAGTGTGAAAAGAAGAAAGTGTGCCTGAGAGGGTATAGGCAGTGGGAAGGAAGTATCAATTTCTTGGGTTGGTTGATTGTTTTCAGGCAGAAATGGGGACACAGGTAGCCTAGAAACAGCACATCAGGGTGGGACTTTAGGCATCCAAGCATTAAGAACAAATGTCCTTGTTGTCTTCCATTCTGTGCTCTTCAGAGGTTGCATTATCTCCCTCTCATAACTCCTACCTTGCTAGTTTGGTCAGCTGATGTTGGTAACGGGTTTTAGAACCTGCCTCTTTTGCAGACCATCTCAGCCTCTCCTGAGCAACTGTCCTCCAGATTTCCCTTCACTCAGCAATGCCCATGAGTGGTTGGATGCTATCAAGATGGGCCGTTACAAGGAGAATTTTGACCAGGCTGGTCTGACTACATTTGATGTCATATCACGCATGACTCTCGAGTAAGTAGAGGGGCAGAGCAGAAGATACCAGACACTGAGTTTTCCATGCAGAAAATTAAAGCAATCTGAGAAATATTTAGCAAGGGGTATGTGGAACATACATATACATGAAAAAGGAGAAGGAAGCCAGAGCAAAGTAGATACTGCTTCTTACATCTCTCTAGGTCCTCTGGACACCATCCATACCATGGTACACTGGCATTCTGTTTCTATAAGCACTAATACTGATCCCATGTGCATTACAAAATATACTGCCAGTGTTGCAGCGAGGCTATTATATCAGAATGTTCATGACAGCTACCACAGCTAATAGCCACTTTTAACTAGATGTGTAGAAAGAGCCATGCCGTATGCTGGATCAAAGAGCTATGTAGAAGACAGGAGCTGGAAAAAGGAACACTCTTGGAATCATAGAATGGTTGGTGTTGGAAGGCAGCTTCAAAGATCAACACCCCTGCCATGAGCAGTGACACCTTTCGGTAGATCAGGTTGCTCAGAGCCCCACCCAACTTGACTTTGAATGCTTACAGGATGAGGCATGCACAGCTTCTCATGACAACTTGTTTCTGAGTCTCACAACCCTTCTTCTATATCTCCAACCTAAACCTACCTTCTTTCAATTTAAAACCATTGCCCCTTGTCCTGCCCAGGCCCTGGTAAAAAGTCTTTCTCCGTCTTACTTGTAAGCTCCCTCAGAGCTCCCTCAGTAAGGTCTCCTCAGAGCCTTCTCTTCTCCAGGGTGAACAAATAACTCCAACATTCCATTTTTACCATAGGAGAGGAGTTCCAGCCCTCTGATTCTTTTCATGGCCCACTTAAACTGCTTCTTTTTGTATCTGCCAAGTTCTGCCAACACCCCCTCCACCCACACACATTTGTCATGCAAAAGCAGAAGCCTTGTCAGCTGTTTCTCAGACACAGATATACACACACATATATTTTACGCACATTGGATCTACAGGAAAATGGACTGCAACTGTTCAGAACAAGCAGCCGATTTTAACAACTTCCATGTCCTCTGTTCTTCTGCAGAGATATCCAGCGTATTGGCATCACCCTTGTTGGCCATCAGAAGAAGATTCTAAACAGCATCCAGCTCATGCGAGTCCATTTGAATCAACTTGAACCAGTTGAAGTGTGATGTTTACACCGTCCTTATTCCACTAGTCTCAAACTCTGGAAAGGTCCTGGGAGAATTCAGAGGGATTTTCACTTTAAGAAAAGGATATCAGTATGCTACTTGAAGACTTAATGCACCCAGAGAGTGCACACTACATGTCCTGTTCTATGAACAAAAACAAAGCCTTGCCATGATTTGAAAGCAGAGCCAAATGACTGGTGACAATTAACTGTGGCTGACATACATTGGGAATGGGTTGGGGGTGGGAAGGTTATAATGACATGGGACAGAGATATAATAGTAGTTTGAACATATCACAAGGACCTGTTGCCTCTTCTCTGCCAACAAAAGGTAACTGACAATTTTACAGAGTCATCAGCAGGCTTTATCTGTGGCTGGGAGCCCAGCAAAAGTACAAAGACATAATAAAGGCAACAAAAAAATAGCATTTTTTTCAGAAGAATGCCATCATAGTGTGAGAGATTATTACTCAGATGGAGATGAGCTTCAGGCTATCACTTTGTATGGCAACTCGGTCTGGAACTCAAGTTCCAGCTAGTGCACAGTATGTGGTAAGCAATAACACGTCACCTGGCAAAGAGGTTATGGAGTAAAGGGTTCAAAATTCTGTGCTGTTTCATGTGCAGTTCTTGGGTCTGCTCCGTGGTGGAAATCACTAATCTTTTGTGCCGATGTGAGTTACAGTCCATCCTTGGTGCTGCTCAACTCTATTTAAGGGACTGCAACAGAATGGATAAATAAGGACTCCTAGAATCTATCCTGCTGGATCTGCAAGTGGAGAGGGAAACTAATAGGTTCTGGTTCTCACAAGGCCATTTGTGTGAGGAAAGACATAAGTTGTGATACTCTGAAATCCTGAGCACCCAGAATTTGGATTTTGTTCTCCTCTGACCCTCTTAGAGACATTGAAGAACATAAAAAAATCTGAAGCCCTTTGCCATTGAAAAATACTTCCTCTTTTTTTCACCCTACCCAATGGGCAGAGCTGGTTGAATACTGTTTCTGAGGAAATGCAGACCTGCAGTAGTCAACTCCAAGCAGACAATTCAATCAAGAGAAGTGAAACTCCTTAACAAGCTTTTGTCAAGAGTGGTCAGGGAATGGTACCAGTCCCACAAGTCACTTCAGTCCTTAAAAAAGGAGCAACAATGTTCTTGGAATCAAGTACGTTGTTTGGTAGAAGTACATGAGAATGACCAGAATGGCAGAGCTTATGTATCCCTTCAGGCAGGCTAGTACCTGCTTAAGGAAAGATCTGCTTTGAGAAGGAGCAGAGCTTCAGGACTGTATCTCTCTATCCATCCCTATGCAGGAATATGAAAACATGAAGCTGAGCTTGAAAGGAAAACTCATAAGCTATACACTTGTCTACCTCATCAACACATAGGAAGGGAAATGGAAATGTCCACCTCAGCAACATACAGGAAGGGAAATGGAAATGGCCCTGTTAAACAAGACCTCAATGATGATACCTTCTTTGTGTCTAGAGAGGAAATAAACCCACCTGTTCCAGTCTGTTCTTATCTGTTGGCTAACTGAGAGCTAGCCATGAACTTACTGTATTTCTCCAGCTGTCAAGGCTAGAACAGCACAACTTCTGCAGATACTACTCCAGTACAGTCAACCCAGCAACTGAAGGCCCAGAAGCCAAGTTTAATAGTGATTAAAGAGTCCAATAATATGATAGGAGGTGCTCCAGAATAGTTGCACTAGAATAGCCAGTGAAGATCAGAATCTTTGTTACTCCATTAGAAGGACAGTATTGTTAATTTTTTTAGCTGGAGGGAGAATAGTACTGTGTTCTTTCAAGATATAAAAACAGTCAATATGAAAACAGTTTAAGGAAACATGAATAAAACATTCATGGCAGTATAAAGAGAATATGAAGATTAAAAAAACCCATCAGACTAGAGTCCAACCTTAGAAATTGTCAGTGTGTGCTTTTTAAGGGATTTCTGGAAACTTGCAATACTCATACATCCAGTCACATGTATGCTGAGTGGCTGTCAGCTCCACCCACGGCATCTGAGACAGAACAAGTGTTGTCCTCTTCAGAAAGCATATTGAGCACAAGATGCTGAGGGGAATCTGTGGTCTCTAGCACCTTCCATATATATTCACCAGAGGACAACAATGCATATATGGATCTTCATGTATGAGTGTATTATAGAAATTCTGTGTGCCATTTGGAGAAGCATGGTAGACTTTCTTTTCTGTGCCTTGGGTGATCAGCAATAGTGGAGAAATTGGCAAACTAGTTTAAATCCAATGTCCTCTTCACAGCCAGTGTGGAACTTATATGGAAGAAAGTGGAAACTTATATGCAGAAAATACATTATATCTCTCTTCATGCAATGGGAGACAAAATGGAAGCCTTGTCTGAATCTTACTCTGTTGACAGTGAGGTTTAATAGCCTCTTATGGGGAGCTGCACTGAATTAGCCTGCTTGGTGGTAGTTCAAGCAGTACAACATTCACTTTAGCATATGAAGTGTATGGCAGTGTGGTTTTCAGTCAAAGGAAAGGGATTTACTTGCTATACCAAGGAAGGCATGTAGTGATTGGACATCATAGATCTCTTCTTCCTCCTGTTCTAAGGCATGTTGAGATGTCCCTAGCATAGTTCTAAGACAAGTGTCAAGATGTCATGGCTGTGGCTAGAACTGCACAGGGAAAGGCTTGGCATCACAAACCGAGTGCAAATGGATAACTCTTTTCTGTAAGAAGTCTCTCCATTCTCTATTCCCAGGGTGTTCCCCGTTTTCAGGTGCTTATTTTCTTCTGTAATTTGGGATGCAGAGGTTCTCATGTTGCAATTAATCTTGTATTATTTGTCATCATGTTACTCCTCAGCTCTGCAAGCAGGGAGTAAAGGCAGTCATGGCAAAAGCATCAGAAATATTCTGATCTTACTTTTCTCAATTTCTATCTGAAAACAGAAATCCTACATTCTGTTTCCACAGTCATCTGGATGTCCTGCAGTATATGAGCACTCTCAACAGATAGTGATGAGAATCAGGAGGCAAAGGAGGGGGACTCACCTAGGTACCTGATACCTGTCATTCACAAGGTGAGAAACAATGCCAAAATGTCTTACAGACCCATATTATTTGCCAGAAAAGCAATGGGATAGTAACAAGTTATTGCCCACCTTTACTCTATATGATTTCTATAATATTCTGTGTATAAGAATAATGAGTAAATTAAATGCACAGGGATCAATGCATAGACTTTTTGATGGCATTACGCATTTGAATAGAAAGAATATATTGCAAACACTAATACCTTTTGTGCTTGAACACCAACTTTTCACTATCTGGAAACAGGAAGAAACTTCACCTTAAGGCAAGCTGTTTTGTAATTATTCCTGATGAGTTCCTTGAACCTGCCTTTTTGGTGCCTGTTGCTGGACAGCCTCCCAGACAGCTAGTTGGATCTGCACCAGTTAATGTATTGTGCTGCCAAAGAGCACATTGAGCAAGCAAGTTCCTACCTATGCTGCTTTGGCAGCCAGGTAGAATTCTCAGCCAGGAGTTACATGCCTGTGCACTCCCTGCCTCACTAAGCCATGGCATGTTTATGTCAGAAGCAGACCCTGCTCACCACAGTGTTCAAAGACAAGCATGTAAACTAAGGTTTTTGCATCCATGCCTGAAATGATGTTGAAGAAAGGCTCAAAGACAGTATGACTTACACAGTGATTGCTGAGTTTTGCACTTGAGCGTCCTTAATGCGTGTGCAGATGAAATGGCTTACAGTCCCTGGTTTGTTTGTTTGGGTTTTTTTAATTGGATGGTGTAATCTTAATGCATGCTTTGACAACACTATTTTAGGGCTAGTTGAGGGAGTACAAGCTGCTTAGT